GGCTTAAAGACCTCAGTTTGAGACCTGAAACCATAAAAAACCTAGAAGAGAACACAGACAGTAACTTCTTTGACATCAGCCATAGCAGTGTCTTTCAAAAATGTATTCTGAGGCCAGAGAAATAAAAACAAAAATAATCTGTAGGGACTACATCAAAATAAAAGCTTCTGCACAGTGAAGGAATCAATCAACCAAACTAAAAGGCAACCTCCTGAATGGGAGAAGGTATTTGCAAATGACATACCTAATGGAAGGTTAGTATCCAAAATATGTAGAGAACTGATACAACTCAACACTCAAAAAACAAATAATCCTATTTTAAAATGCACAAAAGATACGAACAGATATTTCTCCAAAGAAGACATATAGATGCTCATAGACACACGGAAAGATGCTCAACTTCACTCATCATGAGGGAAATGCAAATCGATGCAAATAAAAATCACAATGTGCTATCACCTTGTACCTGTCAGAGTGGCTAAATCAAACATCAAAAACATAAGAAAGAACAAATGTTGGTGAGGATGTGGAGGAAAAGGAACCCTTAAAAAATTGTATTTATTTATTCATGAGAGACACAGAGAGAGGCAGACACAGGCAGAGGGAGAAGCAGGCTCCATGCAGGGAGCCTGACGTGGGACTCAATCCTGGGTCTCCAGGATCACACCCTGGGTTGAAGGCAGGCACTAAATCACTGAGCCACCCAGGGATCCCCACAAGAATACTAATTGAAAGGGATACATGCATCCCTATGTATATAGAGGATGTAGTCCATACATACAGTGGACTATTACACAGAAAGAAATCTGGCCATTTGCAACAATGTGGACAGACCCAGAAAGTATGATACTAAGCAAAATAAGTCAGTCAGAGAAAGACAAATACCATATAATCTCACTCATATGTGAATTTAAGAAACAAAACAAACAAGTCAAGGGGAAAAAAATAAAAGAGAGAGGCAAACCAAGAAACAGATTCTTACCCATAGAGAACAAACTGATGGTTACTGAGGAGAGGTGGGTGGGGGGATGGGTTAATAGGAAGAAAGAAATAATATTATTTGGGTTATTTTAGTGCCAACTTGATATTCCATCAAATTAATATACTCTAAAAAAATTAATATACTCTAGGGACACCTGGGTGGCTCAGTGGTTGAGCATCTGCCTTTGGCTCAAGTCATGATCCTGGGGTCCTGGGATCGAGTCCCACATCTGGTTCCCCACAGAGAGCCTGCTTCTCCCTCTGCCTATGTCTCTGCCTCTTTCTGTGTTTCTCGTGAATAAATAACTAAAATCTTTTTTTTTTTTTTTTTAATTTACGATAGTCATACAGAGAGAGAGAGAGAGGCAGAGACACAGGCAGAGGGAGAAGCAGGCTCCATGCACCGGGAGCCCGACGTGGGACTCGATCCCGGGTCTCCAGGATCGCGCCCTGGGCCAAAGGCAGGCGCCAAACCGCTGCGCCACCCAGGGATCCCAAATAACTAAAGTCTTTAAAAAAATTAATATACTCTAATACACAGCCATTATCTTTTTATCTAATGTTGCACCTTATTGACAACACTATTATTTTTATATGTACTGGTTTGCATTTTTAAATTATTGTTTTAAGAATAACATACTAGAAATGAAATTAAGGACATAAAGTTTTAATAACAGATGGTATATACTGCAGGATTGCTTCTGGAGAGTTTCTTTTCATTTACATGAAGTCTAGTTAAACTATGCCTTTTCCACTAGCAGCCAGTACTGGGTAGTATTATTTAACACTTTCTTTTTCTTTCTTTTTTTTTTTTTTTTCTCATTTGATATTGAAAAATATATCAGTGTTGTTTTTAATTTGCATTTTTCAATTGCCTGTGAGGTGTTACAATGTGCTCCTTTCTAAAAATTCTTGTCTTTTGTGTCAGTGCTTTTGTTCTGTTTCTAGGATTTGATCTTCTTCCAGAACAGCTCCCCTTCTCAAGTTCCTGATCTCTGACAAGGACAGTTTCATTCTCCTCACTCCCCCCAATTTCTGAACTAGGGAGTCAGGATTTTTTCTTTTTCTCTACTTCAATCCTGTTTTCCCATCAGTCACCCATGATGGCTATTCCTTCCTTTAAAAGGAATAGCCTATTCCTTCCTTTTGCTGTTTCATCTTGTTAAAATGAAAGTGACAGGCCCAAAATGGTGTCACTTGGGGTAAGGCCCTGAGTCAGTAAACCAAGACTTAAGAGCTAACTTAACTGCAGTTTCAACCCCCAGAAATGTGACCTTTGACCCATCAACATGGGCATTTCCTGGTCAGCACTAGGAAATTTACTGATGGACCCCTTCTGTTTCCCTTAGGAGGGTGATCTTGCAGAAAACAATGGATTCTCTGCTAATAATGTCCTTTTTTCCAACTCCTCTCTACCTTTAAAAATCTTTCCTTTTGAGGGTGCCTGGGTGGTGCGTCTGACTTTGCTCAGATTATCTCAGGGTCCTGAGATGGAGTCCCACTCAGCAGGGAGTCTGCTTGTCCCTCTGCACCTCCTCTGCTAATGCTTTTTTTTTCTCTCTCTCAAATACATAAAAATCTTTTTTAAAAACCCCACAAACCTTTCCTTCTCTGTAGGCCTTCAGAGTTCTCCTTTACTTGCTAGATAGGATACTGCCCAACTCATGAATGCATTAATAAAGCCAGTTAGATCTCCACGATTCATTCAGTTGAATTTTGTTATTTATTTTGTTATTTCCTCTGAGAATGGCACCGTCATTAGCCAAGGCCACAGAACTCCTATCTGGATTACAGTGGAAGCTTCTTGGCAGTTTGGCAATTCTCTCTCTTCCTAGTCTCTCCTACTTAGATTTCTCTTCCACCTGCTTCAGTACTGACTAGTAAAGCAATGCCTTGTACACATCACCCCCTAGTCCATTGGATCAGGTCTGGAAGCCTCTGCTGGACATTCACTACCAGGCATCACTTCCCACAGCTTCCCAGTTGGAAACCTAGACGCCTTCGTGGTTTCCTCACTGGAGCCTTTCCACTTCCCAGATATGCTCATTTCTCCCCTTTGTTCTGGCCTGTTGCCTATTCTTCTTTCAAGGCTTGGTGCAATACCGATCTTCTCCACGATGTATCCCAGACTCATCCATACTCTTATATCTTTCACACCACCTTGTGATCTCTTTTACAAAGTGTGTGATAGCCTATACAAGTGACAGGGCCATGATAGGGCCCAGAAGAGGAAGGGGAAAGCAAGGAGGGAGAGTTAATTTAGGGAAAGGTGACCCACTTCATTTACAACCAAGTGAGTTTTGGGGGATGGCAGGATTTTCAGATAAAGTTATCCCTTGGGCCACTGGAACTATCTCAGAATTTAGAAGAGAGGCTGAGTCCAGGAATATCAGTTTGGGAGTCACCCATAGCACTCACAGGTGGTGCCCTGGAATTTAGAATGTCTGTAGAAATTGGGAAGAGGATGTGAGACAGAGTCTGGGGAACACTTAAATGCTATTGTCAGAGCAAGAGCCCAAGAGGAAGAAAAGGAAATGGTGCTCACATAGGAGGAGAGGGCCAACAAAGTAGAAAAGGGGGCAGAACCCAAGAAGGCTACTTACTAGTCCAAGAAGCTTGGTAGATTGTGAAAAGAATGCAGCAGGATTTTAGAGTAACTAGGAACTAAGCCAAGTACAGAGCAAGGGAAGGAGCCAGAGGGCAGGGACCCACAAAGAACCAAGGACAGAGGGCTTGGTGCTATGCTGAGGGAGAGCCCAGGGCTACAGCTAATCTGGAAAGGTCTCCTGTGGAGGATGAACCTGGGCAGTGGGAATGGGCCTACCAGGCCTGCAGAGGGAGGCAGGGGAGAATGCTGGGCCAATGTGACACCCAGTCTCCCACACCCAGGTGCAAACAGAGAGAAGACCCATAACTGCTCAGAAGTAGAGCCCGAGGGGCTGAAGGTGGGGTTTTGTTCTCAGCTACCTTCACCCCATCCCTCCAAATATGTATTCTAAGTAAAAAAATTGTGCGTTTGCTATGTGAGAATAGCCTTTAAAACCTTCCTCTACAGGAATTCTGAAGGTGCCACCACACCCAGAAAGTGATTAGCTAAAGAGAAGAACTTCCTCCTGGTGATGGTTATTGCGTACTAGGAGAGGAGACTGGGGGAGGCCACGTGTCCCTGCTTGAGGAACTTTCCAGACACAGTACTGCATAGTATACCCAATGGGCTTGGATTTTAATCCTGGCTCCGCCACTTACTGGAGTCAAATCCAAAAGGTAGAAAAGGGTATGTAGTGAGAATCACCCCCCCCATCCCACACCTGTCGGTGGGTATTCACTCCTCCCCAGGGGCAACCAAAGTTACTGTGTTCTTCTGTTTACTTCTAGAAATATTTGTTCCCATGCAAAGCAGATGACAGAGAGAGAAATTTCTCCCTCCTTTGTAAACAAACAAAGCCTGTCCAATATCTTGCTCTTTTCAGTTAATTATATTTCTTAGCTATTACTCCATTCAGTAGATACAGAGCTTCCTTCTTCTCGTACAGCATTCCACTGAATGGGCAAACTATAATTTACTTACCCTATTCCTTTTTGGTGGACAGGTATCTTTGTATGTGCATTTGTCATTCTGATAGATATTATAAATTACCTCCCAAAGAAATTGTACCGGTTTATATTCCTGTCAACAATGCGTAAGAATCGGGGCAACTATTTAATCTGCAAAATAAGCCACTTCACTCACTTCTTGGAATTGTTGTGAAGATTTCTCGAGATGATGCATGTTAAGTATTGGGCATGTAGGGGCTGGTGCTCTTGAAATAAAGATAGTATTTTATTTTGGCTTAATGAGATCCTGGCCAATCAAGCTTATGGGATGGAATCTCCTCCTCACCAGTCTGGGGTTTTCTGACTTGGGGCAAATTTTGTGGGAAGTTAGCAGCTGAGCTCAGAAAAGTCGTGGGCATTGCCCTCCACAGGGCTGTCACATCTTCAGGCTACCCCAACCTCTTCCATGTGGCTTCTGCTCCCAGGCAGCTCCAGGCTGAAGCATCGTGTTGAATCGAAAAAAAACCTGTGGGACCAAGGATCCTTTCCTCTGGTCATCAAGGATCTCGAAGTTGCTGACTCAGGAATTTACTTCTGTGACACAGACAAGAGGCAAGAGGTGGAATTGCTGGTGTTCAACTGTGAGTAGAAGAGGATCCCTCCAACCAATCTGTCTTCCTCCCTGACTCCCGTTCCTACAGGGAAAACAGACCCTGGCCTAACTGGCCCCCCTGTCTCCTTAAATCCCCCTCTGGGCGCCCCAGTTGGTGGGCCAGTGGGAAAGAAAGAAATCCAGAGGGGGGGGGGCGGGGCGGGAAGGAGCCAGAGGAAGGAGGGAGTAGGGCAGTGACAAAGGCAGAGAGGACTGGAGCCAGCAGGAGGAGGAGAGAGGGAAACTCTGCCTTGGGCTGGGGCTGGGTCCCTGGGTGTTGGGGTGGGGGAGGAATGGAGAGACATTCTTGGTTTCCTGGCTTCTGCCTTCTCCTTGGGGAGGGCGTGTGTGACACAGGTGGCCTGTTCCTTCCACAGTGACTGCCAAGTGGGACTCTGGCAGCAGCAGTGGCAGCAGCAATATCCGCCTGCTGCAAGGGCAGCAGCTGACCCTGACCCTGGAAAACCCCTCAGGGAGTAGCCCTTCAGTGCAATGGAAAGGTCCAGGGAACAAAAGCAAGCATGGTGGCCAAAACCTTTCACTGTCCTGGCCGGAGCTGCAGGACGGTGGCACCTGGACATGTATCATCTCCCAGAGCCAGAAGACAGTGGTGTTCAACATAAACGTCTTGGTGCTGGGTAAGAGGGGCACCTCTCCCGTCTGCTTCAGTGGCACACAGACGGGCCCTCTGCTCTCACTGCTCTGCATCTCCCTCTACTTCTGGCCAACAGAGAGAGGCCGGAGCCAGTCTCCCCCCTGCCACCCCGGGAAACTGAAATCTGTCCCAAGGGGTACACTGAGCCCTCTCTTCCTAGGGGTGCTAAGAGCCGCCCCTCTGAGTGGTGGACACAGAGACAGGAAGGAAGGGACAAGGGATATAAGGATGTGAGGGGCCCCAAAGACCCCTGGAGGAGGCCCCAAGGGAGGAAACAAGGGAGGCCTCATGTTTTCTTTGCTGCCTAGCCCCCCATTCCCACCGAGCTGCAGATCCATTTACTCAGAGGACATTAACACCAGCAAGCCCGCCCTGTTGTATACATTGCACCTGTAGAATCCCAGGCTGCACACCCCAGTGGGGTGGGAGGTTGTTGCACCAAGAGCCCAAAATGGAAGTCCTACCCCAGATCCTGTCCGCTGGGTCCTCATGTGACCCAGGGAGGGTAGTATGGTGGTTAAACACACAGACCAACAGAAGTCCTGGCTGTGACTTAACCATGAGACCTTGGGCCAGTCACTGAACTTCTCTGTGCCTTGGTTTCAGGGATGATGCTCACCGTGATAGTACCTACCTTGTAGTGTTACCACGAGAACTAATACGTGCAATGCACTTAACAGAACAGTGCATGGCACAAAGTAAGCCCAAGGCAAGCATTTGCTCCTTATCTTGTGAAGGCTGATAAATTATGCACCTAAGTAGTGCATGCCAAATGCCGTGTGCTCCAGAGATCCTGAGGAGGGAGAGGCCTCCTGTGACTGGGCCACTCTATGAGGGCTTCCAGCGGGAGGAGGCACTGCCTTGGGAACATGCCAGGTGGAGAGACCAGAGAGGACTGAAGAAGTAGATGAGAATTTAAGGGCTTGATGTGGCAACCTAAAGATTTGGTTTCACCCGGTCCCTCCCCTTCCATCTCTTTGTGCTCCTGGCCCATGCCTACCGTACCCCCGTATATCCCCAACTTCCTATCTCCTGACCCAGCTTCTCTCTCTTCCCACCTCCAGCTTTCCAGAAGGTCTCTAACACATTCTATGCAAGAGAAGGGGACCAGGTGGAGTTCTCCTTCCCACTTAGCTTCGAAGATGAAAACCTGGTCGGGGAACTGAGGTGGCAGGCACAGGGGGCCTCCTCGTCCTTGCTCTGGATCTCCTTCACCTTAGAGAACAGGAAGCTGTCTATGAAAGAGGCCCATGCCCCCCTCAAACTTCAGATGAAGGAATCGCTCCCACTCCGCTTTACCTTGCCCCACGCTTTGTCTCGGTATGCTGGTTCTGGAACCCTGACCCTGAATCTTGCCAAGGGGACGTTGTACCAGAAAGTGAACCTCGTGGTAATGAGAGGTGAGGAGGTAGGCTGAGAAGGGGAGGGTGGGGGCAGGAGGTAGAGGGACCTGGCCCAGGGTTCACTCTGAGGCCCCAAAAGGGATCCCTCCGCCCTGCTTCCCTGATGGAGCTGAACCAGGGCCTTCTGGCTTGGGGCTGGTTTTGAACTGAGACTGGAATCCACATGTTCTTCCTTGACATCTATGAGCCAGCCTGGAATGGGCTCTGCTGAGAATCCCCAAAGAGTGTGAGCTGAGAACCAGGACTCTAATTCTGCTTCTGCCCACCCCTCTATGGTCCTAAGCCCCCTGCCTCTGTGGGCCTCTTTCTTCTGAGGATAGCGAAATCCATTCTTATTAGGGTAGTGAGGAGGGTATCATCAGGCTCTGCATTGAGCTCTTCACTTCCTTATCTCCCCCATCACCATAACTCCACAAATAGTAATGGCTAATATTTGATGCTCAGTACATGCCAGACCCATCTGAGAACTTTACATGTGTTTGTGAATTTATTGTGTATTTAATTAATGTCTGGGGCTTGGATTGTCAAGTAACTTGCAGGGACACACAGATAGTAAGCAGTGGGGTTAAGATACAAGTCCAAGACCCAGGTCTCAAAAGCTGCGTGTGTGTGTGTGTGTGTGTGTGTGTGTGTGTTTTCTATAACTACTTGAAAATGTGCTCTGAGAGGCTCAAAGAGGAGCATCCATGTGAAGCATTTTGATTGTTCTACTGAATCCCCTTAAAGTATGGAGGTGCCAGGAACTTAAGAGATCCAGGCTCCCACCCTCAGGCTCTTGTCCCTCCCACAGCAAATAGTTCTCAGAACAATCTGACCTGTGAGGTGCTGGGACCCACCTCCCCTGAGCTGACACTGAGCTTGAATCTGAAAGAGCAGGCTGCCAAGGTCTCAAAGCAGCAGAAGCTGGTATGGGTGGTGGATCCTGAGGGGGGAACGTGGCAGTGTCTCCTGAGTGACAAGGACAAAGTCCTGCTGGCATCCAGCCTCAATGGTGAGTGATGATCCAGGCTCCTGGCCTAACCTCAAGCCCCTCCCTCTTCAGCTCTGGGACCTTCCCCGGGTTGGTGGAGACCACCCAGAGTCCCAGCTTCCCTCTTCCCCTGAGATGGGTAGGTTATTCTCAAACTGCCTGGACCCACAGGGGGAAGGAGATAAGGCGAGGCGTGGTTCCTACCTGTAACCCCACAAGTTCTCACCTCCCTAAGGTTCACAGTCCCGGAATGCAGCGCATCTGACCAAGAGCCCCCTCCCTACCTCCTTTCCAAACCTGGACACCCGCACACACTCATGCAGGTACACACGCATGCACTGTGCACAGCCTGAAACCGCTGCTTCCGGTTCCCCAGAGTGCCCTGTAGTCTCTAAACCTTCAGGCCCCTTTCCCAGCCTTTCCCCTTCAGCCCTGATGGCCTGGGAGAGAGCCCCACGGACCTTGCTCTGCTCTCCCAGCGCCAGGTGTACCTGGGAAGCAAGGCCTTCCTGGGGCCTTCCAGAACACCCTGACGGAGGGCAGTGAGTGGGAACATCTCTCTCTCCTTTGCAGTTTCATCCCCAGTGCTCATCAAGTCCTGGCCAAAGTTCTTGGCTATCGCGCTGGGCGGGATCTTAGGCCTTCTGCTTCTAATTGGGCTCTGCGTCTTCTGTTGTGTTAAGTGCTGGCGCCGCAGGGTGAGTGCACCTCCCCAAGCCCCCCTTGTACCCCCACAGGGCATCTGAGCACCTGAGGCCCATAGAGAAACAAGGGCAGCCCTGTGCTTGTGGCCTGCTTCTGCTCTGGCTCCCTCTGCCTGCCTCCCGCCCGCCCCCCCCAACCCCCAGCACCGCTCTCTCCCAGTCCCAGATCCCACCCATGCACCCATCCATGCACTGGGAGAGAGCAGAAAGAGCAAAGAGTTAACCCTGGGACAGGTGGCCTCAGTTACAGTAACTGCTTCTCCTCTCCCAGCTCTCCCTCCTCCCCCCTCCAAGGGGCATGTCCCTTCTGGAGGCCTGGGACCCTCACCACTCCCCTCCTTCTTCCTGGACAGCGCCAGGCAGAGCGGATGTCTCAGATCAAGAGACTCCTCAGTGAGAAGAAGACCTGCCAGTGCTCCCAGTAAGGAATTGGTGGGGAGAGGTGGGGGGCGGGGTTATAGGATGGAAGTGAGAAAGTGGGTACTCAAGGAAGGTGGTGGAGGGCAAAGAAGGGTGCAAAGGTGGGGTGGTTGAAGAGGTAGGAAGCAGGAAGAAGGCGGAGAGCAGAGGTGAGGGGGCAGCAGGCCTGGGATATTTCTGGGTGCCACCCAGCAGCTATGGCCCAGAGACAGACCACCACTGCCCAAGAAGGGGGAGAGTGGTCTGGGAGACATGGAGCTTCGAGGATGCAAAGCGATTTGGAGAAGAATAAACTTGCTCTTCCTTGTCCTTCAGCCGGATCCAGAAGACATGTAGTCTCATTTGAGGCGCGGGGCCAGGTGGAGCTTCCGGCTTGCAAGCTCACCGGCTGTCTTCCCCTGCCTTTCCTGCTGGGCTTCTGGGCCTGCGGACCAGATGAATGTAGCAGACCCCAGCACTTCCAGCCCTCTCCAGCTCTCCTTATTCACACTTAGCCATTGGTCCTCCTCTTGCAGAGGCTTACGCCATTTCTTCCCGTTTCCTTTGCATCAAGCCTAGCCCTATGGGTGACTTTTTCCCAACTCTCTCCCCCACTGCCCCCTGATCCCAGGGAATCATGCGGGACCAGCCCTGCCTGGCTTGGAGGGCAAGGCAGGCTGTCTGAAGCATGAAGCACAGGACTGTCATATTACTGGAAGGACCTTGGGACACAGCCAGTGGAGGGTAGATCCAGATCAAAAGGCTCCTGACTGCCAGCCTCCACTGCTCCATCCTGCCCACTTCTCACTCTGTGTCGGCAGGGCATAGCTCACATCCTGACATGTGCGCAAACAGGCAGCCCTGGACACACACCCATGTACAGAGCCCACACTTGTACACAGACACAATTCCTTGTCACCCAAACAGAACCACTCAATTTCAGAGCCAGTTTCACATCCTTTGTTTGTTTAAACCTTAAGAAAATCTTACAGAGCAGTAGTGTCAGGACCAAGACTAGTATCTCCAATTTATAGATCAGAAATGGAACTCGGAGGGGTCAGATGATTGCCCAAGGTCACACAGCTAGGAAGTGCCAGTGTCAGGACTAGCCCAGGTCTCTTAACCCCTAGTTCCAGGGCTCTATCCCAAACACAGAGACAAGAATCCCACAGATCTCTGCAGCTAATTAGTCACTGATGCCCAGTCCTTACCCCTGGATTCATAAGGGCACACCACCCCAGGCAGGGCCTGCCTCAGAGAGTTCAGAAACACAGAAGAAGACTTCCCTGCCTAAAATCCCTGCTCTATCACCTGCTGGTGGCAGAATCATGTTACCAGAGGACAAAGCTGCCAATTCTCCTAATCAGAGCACAGGCTGGGAGCACAGGCCCTGTGGGAGAGTGCCCAGTGACCTACCACTCACCCTGTTGCAGAACCTTCTGGAAGGTGAGCTTTGCCAGGGGGAGGAGGTGGGAAGTTGGCTGGAGAGGGAACCCTCTGAGGGACCTCCTATGAAGGATTGACGGTGCTGGGCTTCAGTGCCACTGCCCTGTACTTTCCTTCATTTCCCCCCCAAAACCATTCAGGATACAGGAAAATTGGGGTTACGATTATTCTTCCTCCTCTTCTTGATCCATTTCTCTCAGGATCCGCGGGCTCCTCTGCCTCTCCTTCCTTCCCTTTCTCACCATCTGTCTCAGTCCCTACCGCCTTTCCCGAGGAGTCTTCTCTTTCCAGCTTGCCCCTTCCAGGAAGAACACCCAGTTGCTGCCAGGACTCCCCACTGCTGGCTCCGCATTGCTGCCCACTCCCGCCCCTGCCTCCCTGAGCTGACAGAAGAATACAATAAACTTACTGTCAAGAAGATGCTCTCCTTCGTGTGTACATGTGTGTATGTGAGAGAGACAGGCAGACAGACTCTTCTCCCGGGACCCGGATCTTCTGATCTCTGGGATCAGACCCAGAGAAGAGGTTGCCAGGCTCGCCAGGGGAAGGAGACGAAGCTTCCCTGGAGAAAGAAACATTCCCGGGAGGCTGATCACCCACCTGCCCACCCCACGGGGGTCGGGTGTGCTTGCAGGAGGCCCAGATTCCTAGTCAGGCCCCGCTCATGTACTGAGGGAGAGGCTGCAAGGTCGTGTGTGCTACACACGTACACGTATGTGTATGGTGAAAAGGGACCAAGAGAAACTGTAATGTGTGCCTGCCAATTGTGTGCATCCCCAACAGAAGTGTGAGTTTGTGTTCCAGGAGGAGGAAGCGATGCGCGCGCGCGCGCGCGCGCGCGTGTGTGTGTGTGTGTGTGTGTGTGTGTTGGGGGGTGCATTCTTTTAGACCTGTGCCCCCCGTCCCCCAGCAGCCCCAGCTTCCTCACAACCTCCAGCACCTGTCCCTCCGGGGCTACACGCCGGGCGCAGCCCTCGCGGATACACACAGTGACACACGCTTCCTCCTCCCCGAACACCACCAGCTGCCTCCGAAGCTAGTGTTCGTGTCGGAAAGCGGGGTGGGGTGGGGGCAGGACACGAACCGTCTCACCAATGAAGCCGGTTCCCAGCCAGCGTCCTCGCCCCCTCCCTGCCGGCGCCTTCGCTGCCCCTCCCCCTCCAAGTCGCCGCCGTCCGGTTCCCCGCCCCGCACTCGCCCCCGCGCCCCCCGAGCCGCTCCCCGCCGGCCCCCGACCTGGGGCTCTCGGCGCGGGCCTCCGGGAGAGGGGGCCCCGACAGCGCGGGGCGGCCGGGGGCAGAGCCCGAGGGAGCGGCGGCCCGAGCCCCGGAGGCCGGGACCGCGGGGGGAGGGAGGCCCGGAGGGAAGAGGGAGGGAAGGAGGAGGGCGGGCGAGCCGGAGCCGGCGGGCGGCGGGAGCCCGGGCGAGCCGCGTCGGGAGCGCGGTCTCCATGGCAGTGCCGGGCGCGGCCAGAGGTAAGACGACCCCGGCCCCGGCCCCGCGGCCCCCTCCCCGCCTCCCCCACGCCGCCGCCGCCGCCGCCTCCTCCTCTCCCCTCCGGCCGGCCCCTCCTCCCCAGCCACCTGCTGTCACTGCCCGGGAGAATAGGGTGGGTGGCGGGAGGGAGGAGCCACCTGACCTGACCCCTTCACGCCGAAGGGCGAGGGACCCCTGCCCGCGGCAGAGTCCCCCAGAAACCCCCCCGCCTTCCTCTGTCCTTCACCTCCTCTCTGTCCTTCACATCCTTCCTGCCTCCCTCCCTCTCTGACTCCCCATCTCTTTCTTCCCGAGACCACCCGCTGGGACTGGGGTGGGGGGGTAGGTGGGAAGGGGTGCCAGGCTGTAGAGGAGAGTAGTGGGGGGGCGCTGCTGACCAATTCCTTCCACCTCCCTCTGGCTGGCCATTGCCATGGCAACTGGGGTGTACTGGGCTCTGAAGGGAACAAAGGTGGGGGGCGGACTAGGACCTCTCTGGGAGGGCAAGGATCAAGGATCTGAGGGTCTTCCACAGAAAGCAGACCCTCTCACTACTGTGCCCCATTTTTACACCACCCCTATTACCACCACCCCCCCCCCAAAGCCAAAGCCGTTAGCTCATCCTTCTTGCCTCCACTCTGTTCAGGGTTTCACCTGATTTCCTCTTAGCCCCCTCCCCAGGACTCCCTGAAGCTCAGCTTCTGGCAAGTCAGGACTCTCCTCCCTCCCTGCAGAGGGAGACTGAGGCTGGGGCAGGGGAGAAAAGAATGGAGGTCCACCAGTGGGAGTCAGCACCTTATTGAAATCTGGCTTTTCTTCTCAGCCTCCCTGTTTCCTGCTCCCTCCCTCCACACAATCCCTCTCCCTCCCAAGCCTCCACTCCAGGGGTCTCTGGGGGTTCCCTTCTATTTTCAGATACTATCACTTTGCCCCCTCTTTCTCTTCTGCTCAAACTCTCCTCCTTCCCCCTAGATCCCCATCTTTCCATTTCTGGATGCTTCTGATGTCAGTGGTTTCCCCGCCTGCGTGTTCCCTAGCCCCCCTCCCTTGGTCCCAGCCTCCTTTCTTCTATCTTCCCAGATCCCTGGTGAGCTCAAGGGGAATCATGCAGGCTTGAGGAAATAGGGCTAAGCACCAACACCCCTGGGCCCAGGAACTGGAATAGGTTACATATCCCAGTTTACTGCGAACCCTCAAGAAGAAACAAGTCATACATCTCCAGCAGTAGCTCTGGAGAGAGATTCGGGAACGTGAAGATAAGGGTTGAATAGCCTGAGCAGGGTTTATAAGAAGAGGGGACCTGGGAATGCCAGAGGGATGAAAAAGGGCCAAAAAGTATAGGAGACGGGGGTCTGAATACCTTCTTTCTCAAGGTCTGGAAAGCAGGTCTCCTACCTGTGTGGGCTGTGACTGGCCATCTGATTGGAGGCAGAAGAATGTTCTGAATGGCCCCCATGGCCCCTAGTAATCCGTTATTTCTATGATTTCAAGAGAAGGGGGTATGAGAAATCTGTCGGAGACCAGCTTGCCCTACCTTTACCCCCCCCCCACATGTCATTTCTCCCTTGCTGTTTGTCCAGGTGGCTGAGCCTAACCCTCCACACCCCTTGGGGGTGCCCAGAAGATCCTTGACTGGTCAAGAACCAGAGAAAGAGGAGACCTGGAAGTCCCGGCATGGGTACCAAAGCTCCTCAGCCAGCCTCATAGTTGGGAAAGCAGTCAGCCTGCCTCCCTCATTGACCACAGAGATACTTCAGGAAGGGCACCACCTGATATGGAGGCTGAGGACCACCTCTGCTGACCCTCAGTCTCCTCCCCTGCCCTCCACACCGGACTTTAGCTGGGTCAGTCATGCAATGCTGAGCAGCTGGGTAGGCCTAGAGGCGGCCTGCTTCACCACAGGGCAGGAATTGTGTGCATCATGGGTGTGTGTGTGAGTGGGGCTCCTGGGTGAGACCCAGCCCCCACCCCCAGGAGTTCAAGGGGGTGGGGGGAGCCGGGGATAGGATGGCTCGGGGAGGAGCAGGGGCAGAGGAGGCCTCCCTGCGCTCAAACGCCTTGTCCTGGCTTGCCTGTGGGCTCCTGGCGCTGCTGGCCAATGCCTGGATCATCCTCAGCATCTCGGCCAAGCAGCAGAAGCACAAGCCGCTGGAGTTGCTGCTCTGCTTCCTGGCGGGCACACACATACTCATGGCGGCTGTGCCCCTCACCACCTTCGCTGTGGTGCAGCTACGGCGCCAGGCTTCCTCCGACTATGACTGGAACGAGAGCATCTGCAAGGTCTTCGTGTCCACCTACTATACCCTGGCCCTGGCCACCTGCTTCACAGTCGCCTCACTCTCCTATCATCGCATGTGGATGGTGCGTTGGCCTGTCAACTACCGCCTTAGCAACGCCAAGAAGCAGGCGCTGCACGCTGTCATGGGCATCTGGATGGTCAGCTTCATCCTCTCCACACTACCCTCCATTGGCTGGCACAACAATGGCGAGCGGTACTATGCCCGTGGCTGCCAGTTCATAGTCTCCAAGATCGGCCTGGGCTTTGGCGTGTGCTTCAGCCTCTTGCTACTTGGGGGCATTGTCATGGGGCTGGTCTGTGTGGCCATCACCTTCTATCAGACATTGTGGGCCAGGCCCCGGAGGGCTCGGCTGGGCGGCCCGAGAGCAGGGGCTGGGGGTGGTGCCAAGGGGGGTGGGCCAGGGGGGTTGGGTACCCGGCCAGCCTTTGAGGTGCCAGCCATTGTGGTGGAGGATGCCAGAGGGAAGCGGCGGTCCTCGCTGGATGGCTCTGAGTCGGCCAAGACATCCCTGCAGGTCACCAACTTGGTCAGCGCCATCGTCTTTCTCTATGACTCACTCACAGGGGTGCCCATCTTGGTGAGATTGGGGTCCCCCACCTGCTCTCCCTAGTCCGGGCCCCAGCACAATCGCTTGACTTCCAAGTCCTTTAGCCATACAGCAACTCTGCCATCCACCTTCGTCTCTTCTGCCCACCCCCATCTGTGAGCTCCCCACCCCTATCATCCAGCTCCCAGTTCCCATTGCCTCCAGTCTTGTCATCTGCTTTCCAGCTTCTGCTACTCAACCGCACTCCCCGTCTTCCAGCTCCACCATCTATCCTGTGGCTCCACACTTAAGCCCCCCAGCGCACTGTCCAGCAGCCCAGTCCAGTCTCCATTCCCTAACAGTCTCAGGACATCCCACAGGGTCCCTGAGCACTCCAGGGTGGCAACCCCAGAGAGCTCACCCCACCACCCCAGCTTTATGCATCCCCAGCTAGTTCGGATTCCTGAATTTCTCTCTGTGTTCAAGTGTTCTGTCCCTCTGGATGTCAGGGCTTTGTCTGCAGTACTTACCCCGGACCTTCCCCTGAATCAGTCCCTTCCCTCTGTTCATCCCATCTCCCCTTCCAACTCTGCCTCCATCACGATCCTCTGTGAACTGGGCCATCCTTTTTCGGCACCCCCTCCCCCGCACTAGGATATTGGGTGGGGGGCCAAGTGGGACCTCTGGGAGCCGGCTGGGTCGTGACCCCGCGCCTTTCCATTCCCCATCCTCCCGCTAGGTGGTGAGCTTCTTCTCCCTTAAGTCGGACTCGGCTCCGCCGTGGATGGTGCTGGCTGTGCTGTGGTGCTCCATGGCACAGACACTGCTGCTGCCCTCCTTCATCTGGTCCTGCGAGCGCTACCGGGCCGACGTGCGCACCGTGTGGGAGCAGTGCGTGGCCATCATGTCCGAGGAGGACGGCGACGACGGTCAGAGGAAGGACTGGGCTTTGGCGTTCCCGGGCTTCGGCTCCCTTTTCTGCGCCTTTCCACCGGCCCTTCTCTGTGTGGGGACGGGCTGCTCTGGAGTGCCCCCTCCTGGACAGAACCTGCGCGGGCCCTGAGCTGACTCGGCTCCCCTTTCCC